GAATGTGTATTTTCCTCTTTGTAACTCAGTGTTAAGCAATCATGTTTATTTTTAAAAGAGACAAGCTGGAAGAGACCTGTAGCTTTGTCAAACATGAATTTTATATACTATTTACTCAAAATAATGACTTATACTGTATATTTTAGAAAACCACACCAATTATAAGCACTTAATAACATGTCACATTATCTCTTAGTGAAGTGCAAGATGCCTTTCTTAAGAAATGCAATATAATCAAACATGGCTGTTTCTTGTGGCTTAGAATAAAAAAACTAGATTGGTCTCCAAACCAGCCTGCATTCCCACTGCTTCAGTCTCAGCTTTTAGTTACTCATAGACCATTTGGCTGCATTAGGTTGAGGATCTGCATTTGGTTCTTCCGTTTATCATCAGTACTGTCTTCATGGAAATGCAAAGTAGGTGGTGGCCTATCCCAAAATTTGAGACAAGCAACTAGGCCACACTTGGAAACATTCCTCATCCAGTAAAAATGACTACTTTTTAAATTGTCAGAGCGATATTAGTATATTATTGGGAAACTAGGAAGTGAACAGGAAGGCATGCAAAATGTATTCCTGCTTAACAGCAGAGGGAGAGACTAAAGCCCATGCACTTCTGTAGCTGATTGGGCTGTCACTTACTAGTGTCTTTCAACAGTACTGTGGGGTTTTTTGCATAAATCTCATATAGTGCTTCGCAGGTAGCTCTGCTGTCACCTGGGATGTTCCCCTTTTGATACAGGTGACCAGCTTCTGTCACCTGATGGGGAGGTTCTAACTCCTGTCTATTTTTATCTATATTCTATGTGACCTACCAATATGTCTGATCCTGGGAAAAATGTATTATAATGAATACAATTGAAAATACACGCAGAAGGATAACATTCCTACCCTTGAACTCTCATTGGGAAGAATTTTGACACAATACTTTTACAGAATCCAAATAATGTAACTCTGTATGTATGTTCAGGAAATGCTAGTAACTGGAGATGTAATGTTTGTGAATCAACTAATATGTACCATCAGTCTAACTAAAGCAAAAAAAGTTACTAAATTCAATAATTCTGATAAAATTGTTCCTTCATAAGAGATGAAGGATTAAAGATAAATGTTAACAGAAACAAGTCTGCCCACAAGCTAAAAAGCAGCATTGCCAGTTTAAATGTTCTCTAAATTCACTAGTCAATTGCTGATAATCAATGACATAGTTAGAATGAAAATAATTAAAATGCCTCTTGTACTTCATAAGTCTCAAACTAGTATTTTTTAATGGTCCATATTAAATTGGATAGCCATCACAGAATACCTACTAAATGGGGATGAATGTTTTGTTGATCAGTAAGAGTTACGTTGCCACAATATGAAAATATTTCCTGCTGGAAGTGGTGCATAACAAAACTGTGTATCTATTTTTTAAAAATAGCAACATGAAATTATGATAAATATCTCACTGGCTGTTCTTTGGAATGAAACTATTTATATCCAGGAAGGAAGGGATCAGATATGGCATCGTCACAAACAGGGAGTTCCTGATTGTAGGGCTCCCGACAGAGCTGCCTCAAGCAAGCATCAGATCTGTCAGGGCATATGGGCTCCATGTGTCTGGTCTCAAAGCATGGTGGCTTCTTGGGCTCTGCATGCATTCCTGGGGACTAAGTCTGGGACAGTTCCTCAGAATCTTCCTTCCAGAGGGGTAACCTCATTCCCCTCGCAAAACAGGAAGGGCATAATTCTGTGGGAGCAATAATATGGGAGAAATTCCTCACCAATTTAATTTTCCTGAGTCTCTGTAGATGGGTTTTATTATAGGAGGGCATGATCTGGCCCTTTTTATATTTTTGTAAAAATTTGCATCACAAACTGCTGCTGTGATCACTGTGCCACAAAGCTAAAATCTAGCCCTTTCACTGGCATATGTTTCAGGGCAAACAACACATCTAACAATTTCAGCCCTAATGAAGTCAGACATCTTTTAGATAAGAAAACTTCACATATATGCAGATTAATGAGAGTCATAGATAAATGCCAGTCCTAGTCAACACTTTCATCCTTGGCTTTATGATGCTTGTGATATTAATAATATAATTACAGGAGAGACAGGTGGTAAAACCTATCATTAAGGTTGCCTGACCGTTCCCATAGTCAAGGAAGCCATCTGCTGAGCCCTGCTGCTGATTGGGATCATCTACCTCAGTAACTAGAGGTGTACTAAGCCTGACCAAGCTCAGGACTGGCCATTTCACTCCATGAGTGGATGTCTGAGGTAGTCACGTATACTTGACTGCTGAATGCCTAGATTGTTCGTTTTTTTCCATTCTGTCTTGATCTTACTCCAGCTCCTTTATGTTATGTAATGATATGTAAATAAAATATGAATTCCATGGTTTCATCCTCCAGGCTAAGCAGTGGCATTATGGTAGGAATTCAGGGTGAGATAAGTTTCTTGCTTGTTTGTTGTTTGTTTTTTTTCTGTTTAAAGGGTGCTAAGGTAAATGTGACTGACTTCCAGTTCACAGAATCACAGAATCTTAGGGGTTGGAAGGGACCTGGAAAGATCATCTAGTCCAACCCCCCTGCTAGAGCAGGATCACCCAGAGCACATCACACAGGAACATGTCAAGATGGGTTTTGAATGTCTCCAGCGAAGGAGACTCCACAACCTCTCTGGGCAGCCTGTTCCAGTGTTGTCACCCTTACAGTGAAAAAGGTTTTCCTCACCAAGTTATAAAAAACATACTTTTTTTTTCTAGACTGTATGTCCAACAAATTATTGTAGATGAGCAGGAATAGCAAAATAGGAGATTAGATTTATGTCAGCTGGTCTTGTGGATGTTGCTGTGAGGATTAAATTATCTTCAGTCACTGTAGTAGCCTATGTTGTTAATTTGTTATTCGATGCTTGCCTCCGTATTGACTAAGCAGCATGGAGAAATCCACACAAACACTGGAATCACTTTGTATTCCAATCCTTCTTCAAATATTCTTTGCGATGGTGCCCATCAAAAATGTAAGAGCAGCTGAGCTGCCGGTGAGCTGAGATTAGGGGTTATCTTGCTGGCCTGTGCAGTTTCATTGAACTCTCCTGGCACTGTTGCCAGTTGTTAGATTGTAAATTATCTGTCATGTGGATAATCTTTTTCTCTCTTTGCTTAGTGTTTGACACATAAAATTTTGTCTGTAAGCAGAGCTGCCATATGATGATGATGATAACAACAACATTAATAATAACACATATTATAATCTAGGAATGAATTATGACCATGCAATAAAGGGGACGGATTCAAGTTGTTTACTGAAAGGATCTGTTTTCCAAGAACCGTCATCTCATTTGTTTCAGCAACTGGGAAGTAGGAGTTGAAGGAAGAGAAATGAGATTTAAAGCACTTAACTTATTCCCTGGAGCAATGTCATAGAATGTTTTTGAAATGCAATGGTAAATTACTTTTTACCTGGCTTTTCCACTAGTAGCTGTTTATACTGCATTTCTCATTTGGGGGGTTCCTGACTTCTGCAATTTGAGCCCATATGTTTCCAATACGGCATATGTATGCCTAAAGTTAGAAGCTATGTTTTGAACCTAGACAGCACTATATAACAGTTTGAAAGCCGCTGTCTCAAACTGGTCACTCAAACTTAATTAAATTAATGTTTCATTTACTCTTGCTAGGTGAGAAGCCCCATATAGAAAATTCAGGTGAGTCCTTTAATTCCCAGAGCTGCTGTAAAGATAGACAGG